TTTTGCTCGTGTATTCTACATTGGTGGCAGCGGATGCGTCCAAATAACGCAATTCCAACCCCAGCCCTTTCCCTAAAATGGTCAACAGGGGCGAAGACCCTTAAATACCGCCTGAAGGTGTCATAGCATATCATCCAATGTCTCATACACTGGATCCATAGATATTACCCGGCATTAGGACTACTGCATCTGAAGAGGCATTAGCAACTCAGCGACGACGACATGGACAGTAGAAGCTAGCTTGAAATGGCCTTCCTGAAAATCAACAATAGCAAAGTCCCTCGTCTACTATTCTCATAAGGCACTATCCTGCCAGATGTGGGGTGCGGAAAGTGTCGAAGTGGATATTTTACCAACACTGGATATCAACAAAATTGCAAAGAACCAAGTCAGAAGCTGAGGACAGCTCTATTCCTGAGGGGGAGGCAGTGTTGCGATGGATTAGGGCGCAGACATAGCGGATCACGCTAGTCCCAGCTAATCCTTTGTTTCTTTATGTTCGAATGGTATGCGAGGAAGATATATAGCCAAATAAAGACAGACATGAATGAGGAGCAGTATATAATGAGCAATGTAGCCAACGTGATGGAATCGGATGGACGGTGCCTGAAGTGTGTTTCTGGCTTATGGTTGATCAATAAATCTTGTTCACTTGTACCTGCATTAATTCTAGGCATTAGATATTTTACACATAGTGTTACCTCGTATATAATCGGGGGCCAACATATTAGACAACGAGATATCATTATCTCAGCAGCCAATCAGAGACATGAATAATATCGAAGCGCTTCAAAAAAGTAGTAGTCTGGATGGAGGACGCGAATACACGTTTGAATTTGATTTAGGCAACAATTGTATCGAAAAAAGACCTCGTTTGACACAAACTGCAATAAGTTCCAGCACTGTCCGTGTTGAGAGCACCGGCATTTGAACTCTAATCCCTTCAGGGCCTCTGTATTAATAAAAATGATTAAGCTGCTACTAAATTTTGAAAAACAATAAAAGTTCAGAGTCGGCAGGATAAACCGTAAGCAAGGTGAGCGCTTCTAAATGCCGAGTGTATATAATGGGATAGTGGATCAACACAAATTAGAAGAGTTTGTAACTGTGCAAATGGCTAAATGGCTAGATAAATTATGTGAGTAGAGGATGGAAGGTAAGCCCGCAGGGTGTATGAGGTGACTATTGTCTGCAGTCAAGATTGGGTAAGTGGCCTATAAATTTTCATCTTGGCTTGGCAACTGCCACATAGTAAAGGCCATGGATTTTCCCATTAGTAATAAAATTAATGGCCGTCACTTCCACTCATTTATACCTATTTCTAGAATTATAAAAAAATTGTTTAACTTTGTACACATGAACATGAAGTATAATTTTGTGTAAATGTCGCAAACGTTTTGCAATTTTTTTGAATGACCTTGCTTTTGTTTAATATTATAAGGAATTATTTGTGATTATTAATCCGCATTTCGATTTTTATTGGACATGTGTCATGTAACTTCTTATCTGCTTTCGACATATTTGAATGAATGCGCCTTGTTCTATGAACTAGCTTTAACGTAATGATTGCATTTGTTATCAAAAAAGCCCTTAATGTTCTTCCAAATTACTTTTTTATTAGTTTCGTCATGGAATTAATGTATTTCCGACCTGCTTTTTGAATATTGAGTTTCACTCGTAATTTTTTCTTTGTAAATGTTCGTACTTTGTACATTGTTTTCTTAGGCTTGGAAAACAATTTTTTGCGAACAGCAACCTTTCACATCTGATATTTTGCGTTTAGTAACAAGACACAACGGAATATTGATTTTATTGCATTTTCTAGTAATGCCCTTTACGATTTAAGTGATGCTTACGTTATCGTAGAGTTAGAGCAAAGTGTTTTTTAGGAGCTTGGGTTGCCCCCATTTGCAAATAGCATAATAACAAGCCCCGAATTTAGAATTTTAACTTTTTAGTTTGCTTGAATATTTGTTTTTTACCAATGCCAGCGATAAGTTAAAAATTTCTTTTTAGTTTTGAATAAATATAAAAATTTTCGGTTAGTTGTGGTGTTAAACCAGTTTAATATACTTTCCAGTAAAAGGTAGAAGCATTGGTTGGTATCAACTCAATTATTCAATCATTTCAAAATTGATTAATGTAGCGATGCCTTAATTTTTTCACGATGTGAACGCGGTACGACAATATTTTACATATTTTGTTGCCTTTATGTAACATTTTCTAGGTGTTTTTGTTTGTTTTCCCTTGACTTACTGAGGTTTGATTTACGCCAAATTGTTGTCTGGGCTACTAATTAATCTGCAATTAAGTGTCAAGTCATTTCCACCAATTCATTCATTGCTATAGTACCATGTGTATTATGAGGGACTCATATTTTGTAAAACTCTCACAATTTAACACGTCATTTTAAAATATTGGTCGCGTTTTTCAATGTTTTTATCGAGAGCGGAATTTTGCTTTAGCTGTCACAAATTAGAAACAAATTTTTTTACGAATCCGGTTTCTTGTCTACATGCACTTAAAAAGTACCCATTTTCTAGAAGCTCGACTAAGCAGTCTTAAATACTGCCGTTCTGAGGTCTTCTCAAAGGCTTGATGAATTGACTAAAATGTCATCATTAAAACGAAGAAAAGAAATGTGCAATGTTGCTCAATTCGCTTACAATAGCGACAATATCCCAAAGACTTTTGCATTTTCAGATGGAGAAAACACAGGAGTTACTGGTTACAGATCCCGTTGTAGACAAAACTAAAATATACCAAAGAAAATCCAGCAATACGTCAGCGGTGATTAATGATGCATCATTACTTAAAAAAAAGGTATTTGAATTTCTCGTTCTTGTTGCAATTGTCTTGTCATAACAATTTACCTCTTATTTTTCTGTACAAGGAATCCAAACAACGGAGGTGGTTTTATACGCATCGTAAAAAACAGGTAGATTTATTTGCTTATTGGCTAAAAATGATGCATTTATTTTTCACGCGGTTTCCCTCTGTTTTAGGCCAAGGATTTGTCGAAATACCTTTCTCTGTCTCAGTCAAGCCTCTTACTAAATTATGGAACTCCTGAGCCAAAAGCATTACGCGTTCAGAGCCTGGTAATTTTTCCTCGGTCAAGTTCCTTATCAGGTGTCTAATGTGCTTTTGTTTCTAGAACGATCTAAGCACAAATGAGAATGACAGCACTCCTATATTATTGGATGAAATAGGCAGTGTAAGTGTGATGCTAACCATATCTTTAAAACTATTAACTACTGACTTCTAAGTCATTATTGTTTTTGAAAGATTATTTTTTACCAGTATATTTGATCGTTAAGTGACTTGTTGTATATCTACTGTGTAAGTGTATGATGCATGCAACTTTACAATATAAAATCTTAACTTAGATGTGAATTCGCTTTTGTTGATTACAAATTGTCGTTTGAGAACAATGACTTCACGCTTTAAAAAGTGCATCCAAGCTGAGTTTCAAACTGGTAAATCTCAGTCTTATCTATTACCTAGTGGTCAAATGTCTGGTCAAGTTATTCGCTTTTATTTTGTATAAATCGTTGATATTTACTTAATTTAATTTACTTAGTAAATTTATTGAATCAAAGTCCGAATTTTTCACAAAATCATTAAGTTTATTCCTAGTAAAATCAAGGATGGATATCCTAATCCGTCAGTAATCTGTCGTAAGCTTTCTATCCTGTACTAATGGATATTTTTAATGTTGTTAAATAATACTTTGAATGTGTTTGCACTCTGGTTAGTAAATGATGATATAACACCAGTTGTTCTTTGAAAGCCCAGAGGGAAAGACAAAAAAGTCAGAATTAACGATGACCATCACCATGATCAATAGAGCTCTTCGACACTACATTGCCACATGGAACAGAATACAGGTGTGCTGGAGGCCTTTAAAAGTAGATTACGCGTAATGATGACCACTTCACCACTTCAGTAGGGCTTTCTAGTAGTGGTAATCAATCTTTACTGTTCGAAATAGTGCGAAGTGTGCCCATCAAAGTTACATGGTATAAATCTACCTGGGGTAGACGTTCAAACATCGAGTTTTGAGATTGATAATCACAGTACCTATAGTGTACTGGTGTGATAAATTGATATTTTAGCCGCTTTGCTATAGAAAAAAAATCATTTGAGTGGTGTAAAACAAGCCCAGAAAATCGCCTGATGGGCGCATAAGTATAGAAACAAGTCGTTGTCAGCAACATTCATAATTGCCTTACTTATTTTGGCTTCGACTTCAACATCGCTTTAGGAGTCAAGTAGTGCAACTGCTATAGGTTTTACGCTGTGCTGTGAAGACTCTTAAAATAGGCATTCGTGTATGACGTTTTGATTCAACTGTCATTGGCACATATGGGCTTATGAGAATCGGCTTGATATTGGATGCGGCTTTAAAATAACTTTTCCGCCATGGTTCGCACTGTTAATCATATTAGCGTTAAGGAGAAATTTGTTAAAGTGCATGAGGTGGTCAACTGCTAAAATACTGTTTTTATACTCAGTGGAGAGGTGAACATTTAAATAAAAAGTACAGTTTATGGTAATCACCATTCGCAATTGAAAGTTTTTTTTTTCGATCGATTTTGTATACACAAGATCTAAAAACAACCTAGTGGCCCAATATTGTGCAACACCAAGGAAAAGAGTTGAATTGTGAGTGCCAGTACTGTAAGGGTTCTATCACATGGTTAATTTAGTGTGCTAACATATATAATCGTTGTGGATGCGCAAAAATAGATGACTTGGTTAGCGCGGTTAACATCACACAGGCGGTTTACCAAGCTTCTTTACTATTCGGGCTTTTAAAAAAAAATCAGCCATACCTTTAAAACCTAAAGCCATGTTAAGCTTAAATTGAGGGACGTGTTTTTTGAACTGGAATTTCACTAATCATTCGTGGTTATTTCTTTTAGGGAACATATTCAAATGTTTACAAATGCCAACTTAAGCAAAACGGTCCCTTGTTTGCCGCAAAGGTGATCAAAATGAATCCCTCCGAGGGTGCTCCCGCAACCGCTCTTCGGGAGGTCAGCATTCTGAAACTGCTGAAACATGAGAACATTGTATCACTAATCAGTGTCACCTACAAACCTGGCAAAATGATTCTGGTTCTCGAATTAGTTGTAAGTTTAAGATTTCTGTAATTTACTTGCCGATCTCGCTACTGTGAAGGTAGACAAAACCAAGAGTAATAGAACCCTCGGGATGTTTGTAAGAAATAATTTTATGCGGTCTCCTGGAATATTTATACGATAGTAAGCGCTGCCAGAAATTTCGAGTAATTGACGAACAAATACTTCCTTCCTTTGTTAGATGTAACCTTAGGGTACAAGTGAATATGACTCAATCGACATCACTGATTTCACAAGTGACATCATACCTTTGTCGGGGAAAACGTTTTGCAGCTCACTTGAAAAAGATCCACTTTACGTTACACTGGCTTGTTTCGTAAACATGGGTTAAGCTGTCAAGATAGAGAAATAGCACTGACGTTTAAAATCAACGAAATATCGAAAATACCGTAGTTCATATGTGCGTTCTGCGATGTTCACGAAACGGATATCTTTGGTTGTTGGTTCTCACTGAAAGGGAATTGAAAACTCCACGAGTGCTACAGTGTACTGAGCTGAAAATGCTCTGTTTTTTTACTGACGAAATTTTAGTGAAAATTGAAATCAACCCTGGTGAGGTGGCGTGATAAAACACAATTTGTTCGCCTCCTTTTATCGTTTCGTACTAGTCTGGGTGTGGGGTTGTCTTAGTTGATATAAAGGAGTAATAAATGGGTTTAAAGGTCCTAAACACACACAAAAGTGGCTATCTTCTTAGAGTGCAATTGATGTGCTTATCTATGTCGGACCAGGGGATGTCACGTGGTACCCAGATAATAGGATGAAGGTTAGAGTAATTCATGAACCGTCAATGTGTCGGTATATGTGAATGCAACACGCTACTAATAACCTTATTAATTATCAAAATTCAAAATGTGCGAAGGTTTACAGTAATCAAACAATTGAATTCGGGGACGATTCTCAAATGTCTAGTAAGACCAATTACAAAATTGTCCTAAGCACATATAACGTAGGAGGACAAATAGCCATCAGCCCCCCTCCCTTAACGAGTGGAATCTACGAACATCCTTTATCTTGGTGGATGAAAGTTCCATCATTAGTATTATGAAGTAAGGTAAATGTTTTTTTTTGCTGAGAGATGGTCTGGATTATGTAAGTGGTTGAGAGTTTGGAATCGAGAGCTAAGTCTATGCTATGTGACTGTCGAAATCAACCTTTACTGCTTCCTGCCAGTTTCATGAAATTCGATTGTAAGTTGAAACGAAATAGCCCACCTCCTATTGATAAGAGACTTTGTCGTAGTTCTTGTCTGATCGGTTAAGTTGACCTTTGTCAACCAGGCCACTGCATTCGCCTCTCAGAGCATGTATTTTTAACTGGCTGCTAATGACAGGAACGATCTGTAGCTAACGTCGGTTGGGTCTTGCTTTCTAGTGATGTTTCTGAGTAGTTGAAATTTTGTTTGTAGCAATTGATGGAAAAGTTGACAAATTTTCTAATGCTCCTGACGATTAAAACCTCTACTTTTATTTTGAGTACTTTGAAAGGGAATTTGTATGTGTTGCGCTTTGTCTTCTAAAAGTAAAATAGTGTCTTTGGAGTGTGGGAGTGGACAGATATGGGTTTGATGGCTTTTGTTTCGTTGGAGAACTATTTCATTAAAAAGTACATCCGTTTTCCTCCTTTACGGTTGGTCTTAAACCTCAAGTAAAAATGTGGGTGGATGGACCCGTCCAAATAGCTAGACCGCCTTGAGCCTTTCAGACATCATTCAGTTGGCGGCGAAAAGATTCTTTGACACCATTTGGCTGAGAATTTAGGCATGGTATTTAAACGCAAAGAGTCAGGTAGATTTGAGAACAGTTTTGATTATATTTTTTCTTCCTAGTTTGTAGTTGTAGGTGGAAGAGCCCTAAAACAGTGAACCACTTGTTGACTAACGTTTGCCACTTATCTGTTTAAAATATCCTTTATTTTAAAACGCAGCTTACTTAAGAATAAAAACGAACGTCAACAGGTTAGCAACGGCTTCGTGATATTTACAGATCTGCGGAAAATCAGAATGTGACGTGGGCACTGGATGTGACACTTAGGGTTGTCAGGCCACTGAAGAATCTCACTTGCCTAGTCGAAAATGGCTTTATGTCATCAGGTCCACAATTGATTCCACAGAATCCAGCTATTTCCGCATGTCTGTTTACGTGGTAAAGTTTGGGTGCTTGGAAGATGTTGTCCAGTTTGGTCGTGTAGTGGGAGTACCTGTAGTATCTGATAAACAAGATGCGTTTAACTTCATGGTTTAGCCTTAGAAGGCAATATTGTCTTTATGTAACGAGTTAATTGCACTGATAATGAGAAAATTTTAGTCAAGTCTATGCTGTCTGAACCATAGGTGATCCTGATTTCTTTACCTGAACCGAGATGGCGGCGTTTGCGTAAGAAAGTTTTACAACCCACAAGTTAAGATTCGTTTTCGGTAGTCACGTGCACTGAGTCAGGAAAGTCATCTTATTTTAACTTGATTCTGAGATGTGCCTAATTCCACAGTTAGTAGGTTTTCAGTTGTTATTTGGCTAAGTATTAAATTTTAAGATGCCCCGAAGACCGTTTCAACTAGAAGAACAAACCGATACAGGGCATATCTAACGAAAAAGCATTTGAGAAATTCTGGTTTTACCTAACAGATTATAAAGTCACATGCAAATGACTCCATGAGCGGAATTTGATGCCCCGTTAAAGCACGTTTAAAGTGCTCAACTTAAATTCATTTTACCTGGTGTTAATTCAACGGTAAGTTTAGCAAGTGTTTGCACTCAACTGTCAATAGTAGCTGATTTTATTCTTATAACTTGTGCGCGATGCACTCAAGGCTTGAATTTAGCTTCTGAAAAATTCTTACAAGTGACCAAAAACGTACCTTAGATCAGAATGTACTTTTAACGCGTCAAGTGTAAATTTTGCACTAAATGGCTATCCTGAATCCACCCAATCTTTGCAAGATCCTCACGCGACGCGAGGGCGAAGTTAGACATTTATTTTTACCATTTGTCCTTTCTAGTATAAAGACACATGAAACATTTCAAAAAAAAGTTTCCATGATCTCAGTCAAAAGGTCGCGTTAAGACGTGCCATTGCTCAATTACGAGTGCTTTGGACGCCAATTTCGGCAATCAAGATGGGGCAGTAATATGGAGGCGGCCAATTTGAATGCAAACATTTGTGCACAGACACATAACAAGGACGCAAAATGTGAATTTGTTAATTAAATGAAAGGCATTAAGTTAGATAACCTCTGCCCATGCCAATAACTAGACCTTCAAGTTAGTTTGTTTTGCGTTTCATCAATTTCCAAACATAAAAATCCAGTACCTCTGAACTTTAGACCAACAGTATCAAAAAAACCAAAATCTTATGATTTACAATTTTTGTGGGTTTACTTGAGGAAGTAAGCGTAGTAAACTGCGTAATGGTAAAAATACTTTCAGAATAAAGTCTATGCAACGATGGATTACGGACTTAATTTCGGTCAAAGCCTAACGTACAAGTAGCAAGCCTGTATTAATGCCAAGCCCAAAGCACTTATTACTTACGAGAGCTTTTTGTCTTTTAATTATAAACTCCGAAACGTATTTATTTCTTGTGATTTTTAAACATTAATCACATATTTGCCGATGAATGAAGAATGTTTTGACGAATTAACCGGAAGTGTTTTATTAATTTTTTTTAAAATTGAAGGCACAAAGTCCCGTGGTCAGCGTCTCTTATTTAAAAGCACTTCTTTTTAAGTACTTTTGAGCAACATTCAAGCATAGGTTTTTTTCAAATAGACCAATTATCTATTCTTGTAATGACAACTTTTTTTCCTCAGCAGTGTGCAGTAATTGCACATTTATTTACTCTAAATATGATCTTCTTGTTGAATTTTTCGGAAAGGAATATAACCTACTCAGTTATATGAAAGAGCGGGATTTGCCGAGAGACGCCGCTACAGTCCAGCGATTGTCTATACATTTATTCCAAGGACTGGCATACATTCACGCAAATAATATTCTTCACAGAGACCTGAAACCCGAGAATCTTTTGCTCACAAACAACATGGTCGTAAAAATAGCAGATTTTGGTAAGTTTATGTGTCTTTTATACCAAGTATATTTTTAAAAGTTGAGTATGTCTTATTTAACAAAATTCATTGTCAATCTGTTTCACTTAGATTCAAAATTCGAAAAGTAATATCGTACATTTATTGCAAAGACTCATCTGCTCTTATTAGACGAAGCAGCATTATGAGTCTGCGGTCGCACCCTAAATACTCTATTTGCACCTCGATTGTGTTTTTGACTATCGGTCAAGTTTGTGCGAAGTTTCCGTAGACAGCCTTTAATTGCCAAACTGTGATGAATTTCTTGGACTAGGTTGTTCGTTGATTAACCTACCTCATGACTTACCGTTTACAGATAAGGACTAAGGGCTCTAAATTTTGGTGGTGTAGTGAACTTTTAGTCCGTTTAATCACTGATGGTCCAGGAGACACAAAATGCTGAGTTGATATGTTGCATTTCTTAGGTCATCTTCTAATGGATCTAGAATAATCTTTCCAGTGCTAATAAAATTTACAAAATATATCCAGAGTCACTTCTGTAAGTAGTGGTAACAGAACAGCATCTAACTCATATCTCTAAGATTGTGAAGGGTGTTCATATTTCCCTTGATTTTGAGCTACTGTGTAAACGCGCCCAGATCTAAATTTGATCCTCTTTGAAAGAATTCGTTATTAATTCCCTTCACATGCCTTTTATTTATGCATTAGGGCTGGCCCGACAAACATCGATTCCGACAGGTACATATGGGACGTGCGTTGTCACACTTTGGTAAGCCTTAATAATGAGATGGGATGTATAAAGGGAATTATGGTCGGCTTTATGGAATTAAAAATATCCCTTTGGTCACTGAGTAAAATTAGCTCATAAGTGAGTGGAAATAATCAAAGTGAAATTGCCGTTTAGAAAATTTGCATCTCTGATGTTTGTGGGGGCAGGCTTTTGTTGATTCAAATGTTTTGGAAGAATTTATACCTTATGCTGCTTTTTAGGCTGGATGGACAACTAGAAAATTGTTAGCTGGTCAAAATATTTCAAACCGTGTTCATTTGACGACGTAGCACGTTCACGAGGCTTATAGACTTTATTTAATAATGGACGCAAAACGCATAGCTTTAGTCCTACTTTTAAACACTAAAGCTATGATAAAACATTTATTTTACCTCCAAAAGTATAGGTACAAACCACCAGACGTCCTTCTAGGAGAGCAGAATTACGGTCCGGATATAGATATCTGGAGTGCTGGTTGTATTGTCTATGAGATGATGAACGGGAAACCTCCATTTCAGGGTTCAGATTCCGCATCACAAGCCAAAGAGATTTTCAAAATTCTCGGTAAGAACACACGCCGCTTGTGTTAAAGTAATTATTCCATCAGTAAACTTAAATTCCTGAGTTCGTTGTCTTAATCAACGAGGGGTTTGATATTCTTTTCAATTTTTTTGCAGTACTTTGTCTGTGGATCACTTGATTTTAAGTATGAACCTACTTGTTTTGCCTGTTGTGGACTGACAGCCACCTCGCATGAGTAATACATGCACGAGGGCCCGAGTGGACCAATGACTCACGCCTTTTGTTATTGGCCTGTCAGCATTCACCTGTTACGCACGCCTGGTTTGACACCAATAAACGGTCGCGTTCTCGCCGCCTTTTCACCTTTACTCGGGTAGTTACGGGTTGTTAAGAGGAGGGATGTAAGGTAGTGCGGTCTCTAGCCCCTGCACGCCTGTTATCGCAAGTCGGTTTTTGTTGAAAAGATGTAACTGATAACCCCATAACCAGGGGATCGGGGATAAAGTACGTTGAGAAGTGTTTATACCATGTGGTTAGTCAAAACTACCGAAATTGACCTTCTACGTGTTCATTTATTTACCTGCATGAAACTAATAGCGGCATTTTTTGCTTTGAATCACCATGAATTAATTGCCGATGACTTTGCTGGCTACGACATTCACCACTAACACACACATATACAAGATGAGACTTAACATTTTAAACGTGGTATTTGAAGTACCTATGCAAGACCATAGTAGGTTTCATGTTATCTAGACTGTTGTTTAAGTGGATGGTTAAGTAGCAGAGCATTTTTTAAAGTATCTTTTTCCTCTCAACCCTCAACTCGAAACAATAGCTGAAGCTTTAACCTAAGTTGTTTTTTGGGATTGTCTAAGTCCTTTTAGATTACGATATAATATTTGCGCAATCAGATTTTCTTGATTTTTTAAAAATCTTATTTTAGGCATTCCTCCACCTTCTTATTGGCCAGATTTAAGGCTTAATACGGTGTTTCAATCGATTCTCCCAGACTTAGAATCTGATTGTGGTAATGGAACTTCGAATTCGATTGTGTACGACGTTAGGATTCCTCTCCGTAACCGCTTTACCAATTTAATCAATAAACATTGGTTAAATAAGCCAGACGCTTTTGATCTCCTTGAGGCCTGTCTTCAACCCTATGGGCCAAAGCGCATCTCTGCCATGGGAGCCCTACAAACGGACTTTCTGGAAAAACGGGTATTTCAAATTAACAAAATTGTTCCGGAACCGATGATTTGTCAGAAGAATTTGGACAAGGAAAACGACTATCTGACTAAGGGATTTCAGCCATCTGCTGGTGCTGTTGAATACTTTAACACCAGAGTCTATTCTAAGAATGTATCTTCAAGTGATTTTCCCACACTTAGCCTGGACGAAGATGAGTCAAAAAATAGAAGCAAAAAAAATTTAAACTGCGCAAGGATGAACCCTTTAAAGAGCACCAACGTATGTTCCAATTTTCAATTTACAACGTCTAATTACCATAAGTCCAGCAGTATATAAACCTCACTGAAATATGTTTGGATGCTGTATATTCTTCATGTTGAAGAGGAAAATATTTGGACCTTCATTATTTCAACGTTTTGCCTGGTTAATGATTAGGTCGTTACAACTGGTTTGGCGCCAAATTTGTTGTCATATGACCCTTATGAGGTGTTCGTATTTATGATGGGCAATTTATAACCTATTTTGTAACAAATTTAGTCAGTTGTCTCGAGGTTAATGTAAGGTTAATCTGAGCTAAAATTATGAAGGCATATTATTTGATCCTATACTTGCATAAACCCAAACAAACGTTTTAAAATCCTTGTGACTGCCTTTCATGGAGTGAGTATCTTGAAGACAGATAACTCCTATTACCTCCTCGAACTACAATATTTGTCTTCCTTTATGATGGCACTTTCAGTGACACGAAGTCGTCTTATTAAGTATATTTCGCTACCTTGTTGGTTTTCTTGTTTATGGCTGTTTGCTTAATTATGAGAATGTCTGTACCATTATGTTGGCGCATAACAGAGTGCAAGGTGTGTCTAACTAGCGCCACTACTCTAGAGGCTCAGTAGTGCTACTCAGATGCCCAAGAAGGTCAAGAAGACCAGTCGCGACGAAGACCGCTATTCATCAAATGGCTCATCGCGTTTGAGCTGCGGCGTTTGTGTGCGTACAAGGTCGTCGACGTGCACGGGGCATGCGTGGAACTGAAAATGCTTCGCTGTGATAGCTTCTATTGGGCTACGTTTTTCCTAATACAGATTAGAGGGGAAAAGAAGAAAGTTTTTTTTACTTCAATTTGTATGGTGTGTCCATGCTATTTAGAGCGCAGTTGCGTACTTCTAATTTGTCATACTGTTTATCAGGTCTCTTGCATAAGGTCAGACAGCGTTGTCCCAGGTGTTGGAACAACGAATACCGATTGAGTGCCAATGGATATCTGCGATTCAGTAGTAAATTGCTTTAGTTCAATTTTCTGATTCCTCAAAAAGTACAATCCGAAAGTCGCATCATATTTGAAAAAAAATCTTACAGCGCATTGGGAAATGGTCAAATGGTATCATGCCAAACAATTACTACGGGCTCCATCTGCAATATGGTCACAGCCTATATCAGACATAACCCATATTTGACAATGACAGTTTTATGCACTTTATATGCGGCACTCAGGACGTAGCGTTAGAATTAATGAATCGCACCGCGGGTCAGAGTTTGTCCCAGATCCAACTCATAAAAGCCAAAATGAACTTCGGTTGTATGTAAACCAATTTCGGTGCACTTTGAATCTGGTTCGCAAATCGTACTGAGACACTGTGATTAAAATGAGGTTAAACACACAGAAGTTGCAGTAGAATAAGTTGTGTTGGAGTCGGTGCTAGGGTGTTTGTCCTACACGGTTCGTGATGCACAAGTTGGTATTAACTTACTTTAAGTCGTTTGACGGTACCGAGACCACGTAGAATAGTTATACCATTGTTCAAAATAATTTACCCAAATATATCTGCTTCCGTCAATTGCAGATGGATGGTATCTCGAATAAAAACGCAGATATGCGATTTGCCATAGCCTCTCAGCAGTCATTCGCGAATTCCGCCTGGTCACAAGCTTCTTCATCACAAGGAATTAATGATACTGCGTCAAGGTGCCCTAACGGTAACCGTGACTCGGAGGTGAGTTTTAAGTGCCAGTTTGGCTTACAACTTTGAAGATTAGCCACTTATAACCGTAACATTAAATCATAAGACCACACTACTTACGTTGTCAGTGAGTAGATATTTTGGCTGCTTAAGTGTAATGATAACTCAAGTTGTAGAAAGTACATTACGCCATGTTAATTGTAAACAGGCGAAATATTCCAAGCTTGTTAACAACCGATCAGTCAGAAATTTGCAACACAGAATGAATAAACTACAGATTATTATTGATTGTGCATTCCTTCATTGCCACAAGACGTAAGTCCGGTGATACTCCAAATGTTGTTATTCCAAACTCGTACAGACGAATAATTCGCGCGCGTGAAAATCGGTGGACCCCAGTCAAATGGTAAAGCTGTTCCTGATTCTGTTACGGGTCGTAGATGCTAAGTCTGGCCTGGGCGTGCACAAGATATCTAAAGCGGTCGAAATATTGGCCAATACATGATTTCCAGCTTAAAGAACAACACTTGCTTTTTTAATATTGTGAACAAAACCAAATTTGCAATTACCAAATTTCTCATTGAGTGTAACTGTGATGCTCCTTAGCCTTTAGGAAGAAGAGCATTTGCGTAACGAATGTTTATCACTTGTTGTAGGAAGAAGATCCGTACTCGGAGCCAGTTGATTCGCCTTCAGAAGTGTGTAATGACGACTACAATAAAAATATGCCCTTTAAACTTGTTCCTCGTGAACTGCCACCAAAAGTAAGCAAAACGATTTAATTATATCTCATTGATTAGCGTCATATGCTATCAAAACCCAGTCATAAAATTGCGTAGCAGATCATTATACTAACTATTTTTTTGAAACGTGTTGATAAGTAGAAAAAACAGCAAAAGCACACAATATATAGAATCGATGAAAAAAACGGCAATGTCAGAAAAAGTAAGCTGAAGTATAAATGCTAAACGTCATTGTTTATTCACTGTCAGGCACGGAGTGACTTAAAATATATTACAAGCACAAAGCAACTACTTGAAAATAGCAAATGTAATTAAAGAGATAATTACACAAACATAATATTGACAACATTAATTCAGGAAAAAATTGGTGCCTAAAGACCAAATAAGATCACAATTAATACAAATTTCTATCCATGAAAAATAGAGCATGTGATAGAACATATTCAATTAAGAAATTATTTGAGAAATTACGCAAAATATTATAAAAATAGGCGCTTAAAGGCCACAAAAAGGGGAGTCCTAGCCAAAATGCAAGGAACATTTATTTGAGCCAAGGGTGATCAACTAGGTTCATTTAAACGCCACGATCAAAGTAACAGCAATTTTGTGCACTCTTTCGTCGTGCTCCTCAAGCTGTCATTGTAGTCCTCTACAACTAACACGTCAGCGTTTCGATTTTGTCTTCTACACTCGAAGTCATCTGTGGCACTGATAGCCGTCAGCTCTAATAATAAAATGTGCAGCCGTGATTTGCGAGGTCGCTAACTACTGAACTCGTGGAACGTCATGTGGTGAATGGCAAACAATGCAGTATATCGTGTGTGTGTTGTGTGTGTGTGCTGGTGGAATTGCAAATATCATTTGGGACATGCAGCATGATGTGCTGTAGTCAATAATTCGTGTTTGTATATTGTTTTGATTCTGCACTCTTATAGCCACGACCTGCCAATGCGTCGCCTTCGACGTCGTCTAAGCCTGAGGTGGGAGAGAGTGTGACACCGACTCCCACAAACCAACCTTCCGAACGCAACATAGGCGGTTTTCGCCGAATTCCTCAAGTGGTAAAAACACCTTTTTTTCTGTTTGAACTTAGCAACTTTGTGTTTCCTAACCTAGTGAAGCATGAACCGCGTTGTGTGTTTGGATCGATGTGTTTTGCGTTTGTTGATCGTT